GTACTACAAGCCACGCTCAGAATACTAGCTACCTAACTTTAGAGAAAGCCTAGTTATACACTTGTCGGATTATATATAGGGGTGATCCCCTCCTGCAATGATTATGCTCGCTTTCTCTTTGTTTTATTATATTTCACCCGTCCCAGCAGCCAATGGCCCAGTGGCCACAACCCACTAGCCTTTGTAAAGGTCGCTTGGACAGCAAAGTCGATTATTTGGGTATCTGAATCTTAGCAATCAAATGAGGGACTGTTGTATTTAGTAAAGCTCAACTTTAAAGAATGGAATGCGTGATGCATTAAAATTGTTTAAATGAGATTAGAAGAATTCAAGCTATGTACAATTTAACTACTCGAGCCAATCCAATAGGTTGCGATATATAACAAGTTTTTATTGTATTAAATTATTTGTCATTTTAATTATATTAGAAAAACCCTATTAACTATTTTGTTTCTAATATTACTTTTATTACTTTTTTTAATTAATTAATATTAACAACAACTTAAGTGAGTTAGTTATAATTTACTTCTAATTAATAAAAGTAAATTGTTTTATGAGCAAGGTGAGTAAAGAAGTTAAGGTTACATTTGGGATTGTTTTCTCATAATTTTTTTTTCCACACAACACTTCGTAAAAGCCTTGATTTATTATAATTAATTAATTTTAATTAATATTTTGTATAATTTTTTGATCATATTAATTTATAAAAATCTTTTAATATAATTTTTTTCAGAATAAAATATTAAAAAGCCCATAATCATAATATTTCATAATAATCTCAAACACAATCTAAACATATTGTATCAAAGCCTTTATAGTTTAATTGATATTTATTTATGAGAACAACGCGCTATGTTTGCATGAACTCAAGACTAAACTGAATTGTTTAGCATAGGATATTTCAATCACTAATAAAAAGAAAATATTTATTTAGAGTAATATGCATTTTCTAATATGAAGAGCATCATCAAGAAAGTATGATTCTTTCTATATATATTTGATTTTAATTATTAGGGGTAGAAAAGGAAAATTAATTATAAAAAGTTACTCCTTCCTGTTTGAAATACTTGTTGCTTTGATTTATTGGATTCAAATTTAGCTGATATTCGATTTATTGGGTTTAACTGTTTAGATATTTGTAGATATTTGTTGATAATTAATATAATACTTTGACTTTTTGTTGTTGTTTTGATTCGTCATTGGTATATAAATTAACTTAACAATTTTATATACTAAATTAATGAAATTTGAAAAAAAATTTTGATTTGAATAAAAATATCCATCAAAAACTATGTATAGAAAGAAATTTTTTTTTATTATTTATTTACTACAAATTATTTTCCCAAATTTTATTTAAAAATGAAATTATGACAACTACATCTTATTAAAAAAATAATTAATATCTAATATTTAACAATAAATCGGCTAATCTTTTCAAATATCCTAATTAGCGATTTAAGAAAATAAGCTATCAAAGGGTGAAATTAGTCGAACCAAACACACTCATTTTTTATATGATTTGATAGAGATATCTGAAAACTATTGCTTTTATATATATATATATATATGAAAAAGAACATACCGGTTCAATTGCTTAAATAATTAGAGTTTTAACATTAAATTATATCATTTTATTTAATTAAAATTCAATTTAAAATTTAAAATGTTATTTTATTAAATATCGATATATTGATTTAGAATCTGATTATATTAGAATATATAATGAGTTTTCAAATTTAGATATCAATATTTAATAAAATAAAATTTTAATTTTTAAATATAGATTGGGACTCCAATTGTTTTTGGGAGTTTGGATTGATATATATTAATCTCATATATATATAAAATTTTTATTGAGTAATTTTATTTTATAAAAAGTTTAAATATCCCTTATATATTATATATAAATATTAAATAAATTTGATAGTAAAAAATTAAAATCACAACAATTTCAGATTGAAAGTTAATACGTCTTTAATATGCATGATTTTAATTTATAATGATATAGTAGATAAAAGAGAATATATTTACTCCATTAGCCCATTACAACACCCAATATAATTTCTCCTTTTTTTAGAGTGATTATTATACATTTCAATTAAATACATTACATAACATACACATTAGAATATTATTTTTTGATATAAAATTAAAAACAAATAAATTTTAAAATATAACTATACATACAAGAGACAAGAACCTAATAAATTAACTATATTTTTATTATATTTTAATAATTGAACTGTGATAAGTATTAAAAAGTGTATTGAATTAAATATGTATCAAT